ACCTTCAAGCAATCGAAATTCAACAAGATTTTGCATACTGGCTTATAGCTGCTGGCCCCCACACATATCCCAATAATGCCATGCATCTAGGCCATATCATTCTATCACACTTCTTTGTTACTTAAAACGTTTACCTCTCTGCTCTCCTCTTTTTATCTCTTTACACATACTTTCTCTTCTCCCCTTCTCTTTTTTATTATACTATATCTCCCTTATCTCTATTTTCTCTTTTTCTTTCTTGATTGCCATCCCCTTTTCTCTTATTTCTTTTAAATATATCATACTTCTTTATAGATCGATTTACACATATAAAAAAGTGTTCTAGTGCTAAGTGTTTGACTTTGTCCAAAAATGATACTTGATATCATTTATATAGATACGATACAAATGCAAATCAACTACTTGAAGCTGCCATATAGCTATTTGTTATATTTTTCAGGTCGAATGTTTTCCCTCAAATTCTGCTGAAAAAATGACGATTGTCATTTGAACGTACATGCATGTATACTGATCCCACTGCTTAAAGGGGCTAAAGATTTAACCTCAAAATCCACCTAGTCTACATAAGAGTATACTATATATTCAATAGTAAATTTGTCATATCATTATCATATATTATGTAAGTAAGGTTTTTCATCATAATAAATCATATTCCTGAGCTGTTTCTGATGCCAAATATTTAAAAAAATTGTGGAGTCCACCTGGGGTCTACCTGGGTGGACTAGGTAGACTCAGTAGAGTATACCTTATGATCAACAGTAAATGGCTTATATCTCTGCAATGTATTAACGAAGTAAGGTTTTTCATCATAATAAATCGTGTTCCTGGGCCTTTTCTGATGCCAAATATCTAAAAATATTTTGGAGTCCACCTAGGGTCTACCTGGGTGGACTGGGTAGACTTGGTAGAGTATACCTTATGCTCAATAGTAAATGGCTTATATCTCTGCAATGTATTAACGAAGTAAGGTTTTTCATCATAATAAATCGTGTTCCTGGGCCTTTTCTGATGCCAAATATCTAAAAATATTTTGGAGTCCACCTGGAGTCTACCTGGGTGGACTGGGTAGACTGGACCTACTAAGTAATTGCCGTGGCAACTCTATACGTTCGAGTGCTGTTCAAAAGAAACGTGAGATGCGGCAAAGCTGGATTCTGATGGAGCGTGTGCAAGATGGCATGGAGCAGTTCGAGTGTTGGAATGGCGGCGAGCAGAACATAATAAAAAACAAGTAGAGAAAAAAGAAGTGAAAGAGCGAAAGAGATGCAGAAGCTACCTTTTGTGAAAATTTTTTCTTTGAGGAGCGCTACACCTTGAAAGGGACTTTACCCAAACACGGTGCTCATGACCATGGATGCCATCCCCTTTTCGCCTTGCCTTGTCGTTTCCTCACGTTCCCTCTGCCTTTCCCACCCGTTTGTGCTTGTGACAACACGTCTTTTACAACAAAATCTTGGTCACCGTCATTTCACTTTCCTCTGCTAAATCGTGTCCGATATACGTTTATATCTCTCAAATACACGTACACATACATCAGCACTCAAGAAGTATATAAAATAGCCAACGAATAAAACAATCCAAAATAAGCGGTGGTGGAGAAGAAGAAGAGAGTCCCATATACATCCAAGCTCATCAATTGGAAACTCTAAACCCGGAACCTTAGTAAACCCGGACCAGGACTTGCGCGTTCGACTAAACCTGCTCGCTCACTGGCGTTCGCTGCCAGGCCCCTAAACCCGTTGCGCTTACACGCCCTTCTTTCCAACTTATTGAGTGCCTTAATGCCCCACGATGTCCTATGTTCATCGATAACGTAGCTGCTTGAATCCATGACAATGCAGTAAGATGTGTTGGATCGCTTGAATAAAAGCATTTGCCTCGGTATCTGTATAAGCAAGAAGCCTGTATATCAGCGAAAATGCTTGCTGTTGCTGTTCAATGCAATTCAATGATATATACATCTTTGCTTGTATCTTTATAAAAGTGCAGCAACGTCATAATTAAAGAAATAGTGTTAAAATAACGCTGGATACCGTTTTCGTTCCAACGGTGCTGTGTATCTCTTCTTTTCTTTAAATGATTAAAAAATGTATCGGCTGGTATAGAATGTACTCTAACGAGTTCGTATGTACGTGCACTGGCGTTACTAATGTCAGCAAACAATGGTTTTCACCAGTAATTGGAATGTCACCGAGGAATTATAGTAAAACGTGTGTTATATGTTCGTTCGTCAAAGTTTTTACATGTGTTCGAGTGCTGTGGGTACGAGTGCCGCTAAATTGTCCGTACGTTACGGACTATTTGACCAATTAAATGTGGCGGAAAGACCGGGAACACTATTTATCCAGCCACCCGTAGCAGCAAAGCTGTATAGATGCAGATATACCCCTCAGCAGCTTCCACTGATTGGATTTTCATATACGAACATGCACCAGAACCGCAGATGCCCCATTTATTAATGTATTTTCAAGCTTAAAGCATATGGTGCGGTTTTTTATATCACACGACAACAGAATCTCACTTCAAAAAAAAAACAATTTATTACAGCATGCTAATAATACTATACACTCAAAAACTGTTATTGCTTCCTTACCTGCATATCGCCGTTGCTTTCCACAGAGCCCTCGAAGGATAGCTTTACTGCCATTATCTCCATTATATGCTTCCCATCCGCATCTATATAACAATGAGATATTGCCATTTCGGATCCTTGTAGTACTAATGATTTGTTTGAAGCACCTCTTACATATAATCCGCACGTTCTTTTCACCGCTGTTGTTCGTCGACATGGTATGGTACAGACACCAGACCACCAGAGTCACGTTCGTCAGCTCGTTCTCATTCTACTGCAGTAAACAGTTCGTTATTTGGAGTACTGGATGGTGAGATATCGTCGTGCGCGAATCGCCCCTTTTTGGCTGACTTTGGTGTATATATATATGATCCACTATAAGTGCACGCGTACCGTTTCGGGCTGTTGCTTGTCGACATGGTATGGTAGAGACACCAAACCACCAGCGTCACGTTCGTCTGCTCGTCCTTATCCTGCTACTGTAAACAGAACGTTGTTTGGAGTACTGGATGGTGAGATACTGCACAGATGGGAATGGCTGCTTATTGCTTTTTTTCTTTGCCAGTTTGCCAAATAAGAAAGTAAACACCTACCGCCATGACTGTTGCTCCTTGTAGAAATACTTATGACATAGACTCGACGTTGCCATTGCGTTGTTTGCGTTCTCGCATAACGTAAAGAAGAAAGCCGGCCGTTACTGTGCAGACTGCTGCAGGTTTTGCTATGCTCGTATTGCTGTCCTGCTGAGATATGACAAGTCATTCAACTGGCAAATGGCTTTTCCAAAAGCTTTAATGGCGAAGATGTAGCGTCCGTTTGTTGTAATGCTTGTTGCTATAGTGCAACTGTTACTGAAAGCGAAATGCGTAGTATGAGTGTTGAGAAGAAAGCGTGCAAGATGAGGGTGTTGCTCGAGTGATGAAGTTGAAAAAAAATATAGGACGAGTGTTGTTCGAATGGTGATTAAAAGGAACGTGACAAGCGGCAAAGCTGAATTCAATGGAGCGTGTGCGAGTTTGCAATTGAGCAAGTCGAGTGTTGGAATGGCGGCGAGCAGTAAGTAAAGGAGTGAAAGAGATGTAGAAGCTTCCTTTCGTAAAAAATTTTCTTTGGGGAGCGCTGTACCTTCGGCTTTCCCAAACGCGGCACTTATCATAGATGCTATCACCTTTTCGTTTCCTCACGTTCCTTCTGCCTTTCCCATCCGTTTGCGCTTGTAATCAACACTTCTTTTACAACATATTTTCGATCACTGCCATTTTACTTTCATCTGCTAAAATGTGTCCGATATAAGTTTATGATCTGTCAAATATACGTACAAATACATACAGCATCCAAGAAGTATATAAAATAGCCAACAAATAAAACAATCCAAAATAAGAGGTGGTGGAGAAGAAGAAGAGAGTCCCATATACATCCAAGCTCATCAATTGGAAACTCTAAACCCGAAACCTTAGTAAACCCGGACCAGGACTTGCGCGTTCGACTAAACCTGCTCGCTCACTGGCGTTCGCTGCCAGGCCCCTAAACCCGTTGCGCTTACACGCCCTTCTTTTCAGCCTATCGAGTGCCTTAATGCCCCACAATGTCCTATGTTCATCAGTAACGTAGCTGCTGGACATCTGGCCAATGCAGCAGTAAGATCTGTTGGATCGCTTGAACAAAGCGGTTGCAACTGTGTGTGTAAGCAAGAAGCCTACGTAACTGCGGAAATGCTGCTGTTCCTGTTTTTTTTTCACAAGCATCTGAACTCACAACTACAAGCTCTAACGACGACGTATTCTATACAACTTGATGCTGATGTTCTCTTTTCAATGATTCCACTCTCAACTGGGGAAATGCAGTGTCTCTTAGTCAGGAAATACACAGACCGGTCATTTTTATTCTATAGTATCTCCTTCATCATTATAGCAACAGCGGATATTTCACTCATCAGCTTCCACTAAGTGAAGTTTCATATACTAATATGCAACAGAACCGCAGATACCACATTTGCTAATGTATTTTCAAGCTTGAAGCATATGGAGCTGTTTTTGCATATCAAACGACAACAGAATCACATTTCATGAAATACTAGTTTATTAAAGCATGCTAATACTATATAGTCAAAAATGCTATTGTTTCCTTACCTGAAGATAACCACCACTTCCACACCGCAATAAAAGAAGGAACCAGCTTTGCTATCTTTATATCCTTGGTATCCTTCTCTTCCTCACCTGTGTAATAATGAGATACCACCATGCCTGGATCCTTGTACTAGTACTCATTTGCTTGAAGCCGCTCTTCCTCTAAAAATAATCCGCACACTCCTTTCACCTCTGTTGCTCGTTGACATGACGTGCTAGAAACACCAAACTGCCATCGTCGCCTTTGTCCGCACGTCCTTATCCAGCCGCTGTAAACCAATGGTTATTTATATTATTCGATGGTGAGATATCGTCGTGTGTGAATAGCAACTTTTTAGCTGAATTTGGCGTATATAGATGATCCACTATATAATATCCGTGTACCATTGCTGCTCGTGCTCGTGGATAAGAGTTGCTAGAGACACCGGACCCGTATCGTCGCGTTTGTCAGCCCATCCTTATTTTTTTTCTGTCACAGTAAACGGAACGTTAATTGGAGTACTCAATGGTGATATATAGCCGTGTGCGAATAGCTGCTTTTTTTTGCCAGTTTGCCTAATTAAAAAGAATAGACACTTACGGTTTAAAGAAGAAAACCTGCCTTAACTTCGCGGACTGCTGCAAGTTTTACTGTGCTTGTGTTATTGTCACGCTGAGATACTCGCAGGTCATTCAACTGGCAATTTCATTATTCCAATTAGTTGTAACGCAGAGATGTTGCGTCCGTTTGTTGTAAAGTTTGTTGCTAGAGTGCTGCTGTTGCTGCTGATGTATGTTGCTGCTCTCGTCAATAACAATGCTGCGGCAGTTGTTACTACAAAGGAAAACACAATAAAAAAGTGGCCGAGTCCATCCACAGTAGGAACAAAGAATCCACTGAGACAAAGACTATGTGCTCTTTAGTATCATATACGTAAAATACAATAGCCATTCCAGTGCTGAATTTTGTAGAAAATGTTCAAAGTACCTGATGAGGGCCAAGCAAAGAAGAAAACGACGCCGGACAGAGTTGACGTTAGTAACACAGAAATAAAGAGCTTGGTCCTGGGATCATAAGATCATAGCAAAATGAAGGACAGAGACCAGGCCGTTGTCAGAGATGCAATTCATTTGAGGGCCGTTCAAAGGTGTTGAAAAAAAAAGTGCGAGATGCGTAATATTCGAGTGTTGAGAATAAAGAAAGCGTATAGGACAAGTGTTGCTCGAGTGGTGACTGAAAGGAACGTGAGATGCGGCAAAGCTGAATTCATTGGAGCGTGTGCGAGTTTGCAATTGAGCAAGTCGAGTGTTGGAATGGCGGCGAGCAGTAAGTAAAAAAAAAAGTGAAGGAGTGAAAGAGATGTAGAAGCTTCCTTTCGTAAAAAATTTTCTTTGGGGAGCGCTGTACCTTCGGCTTTCCCAAACGCGGCACTTATCATAGATGCTATCACCTTTTCGTTTCTTCACGTTCCTTCTGCCTTTCCCATCCGTTTGTGCTTGTCATCAACACTTCTTTTACAGCATAATATTGTTCACTGCCATTCACTTTCCTTTGCTAAAGCGTGTCCGATATACGTTTATATCTCTCGAATACAGGTACACATACATCAGCACTCAAGAAGTATATAAAATAGCCAACAAATAAGACAATCCAAAATAAGCGGTGGTGGAGAAGAAGAAGAGAGTCCCATATACATCCAAGCTCATCAATTGGAAACTCTAAACCCGGAACCTTAGTAAACCCGGACCAGGACTTGCGCGTTCGACTAAACCTGCTCGCTCACTGGCGTTCGCTGCCAGGCCCCTAAACCCGTTGCGCTTAATACCCTTCTTTTCAACCTATCGAGTGCCTTAATGCCCCACGATGTCCTATGTTCATCAGTAACGTAGCTGCTTGAATTCATGCCAATGCAGTAAGATTAGGCGGATCGCTTGAATAAAAGCATTTGCCTCGGTGTCTGTATAAGCAAGAAGCCTGTATATCAGCGAAAATGCTTGCTGTTGCTGTTCAGTGCAATTCAATGATATATACATCTTTGCTTGTATCTTTATAAAAGTGCAGCAACGTCATAATTAAAGAAATAGTGTTAAAATAACGCTGGATACCGTTTTTGTTCCAACGGTGCTGTGTATCTCTTCTTTTCTTTAAATGATTAAAAAATGTATCGGCTGGTATAGAATGTACTCTAACGAGTTCGTATGTACGTGCACTGGCGTTACTAATGTCAGCAAACAATGGTTTTCACCAGTAATTGGAATGTCACCGAGGAATTATAGTAAAACGTGTGTTATATGTTCGTTCGTCAAAGTTTTTACATGTGTTCGAGTGCTGTGGGTACGAGTGCCGCTAAATTGTCCGTACGTTACGGACTATTTGACCAATTAAATGTGGCGGACAGACCGGGAGCACTATTTATCCAGCTGCCAGTAGCAGCAAAGCTGTATAGATGCAGATATACCCCTCAGCAGCTTCCACGCATTGGATTTTCATATACGAACATGCACCAGAACCGCAGATGCCCCATTTATTAATGTATTTTCAAGCTTAAAGCATATGGTGCGGTTTTTTATATCACACGACAACAGAATCTCATTTCAAAAAAAAAAGCAATTTATTACAGCATGCTAATAATACTATACACTCAAAAACTGTTATTGCTTCCTTACCTGCATATCGCCGTTGCTTTCCACAGAGCCCTCGAAGGATAGCTTTACTGCCATTATCTCCATTATATGCTTCCCATCCGCATCTATATAACAATGAGATATTGCCATTTCGGATCCTTGTAGTACTAATGATTTGCTTCAGGCCGCTCTTGATCTATAATAATCCACACGCTCTTTTTACCGCAGTTGCTCATCGACAAGACGTGGTAGAAACACCAGATCAGCATCGTCACGTCCGTCAGCTCGTCCTCATTCTACTGCACTAAACGATTCGTTATTTGGAGTATTGGATGGCGAGATATGGCCGTGCGGAAATCGGTCCTATTTTTAGCTGACTTTGGTGTATATATATATATGATCCACAGTATAATACACGCGTACCGTTCCTGGCTGTTGCTCGTTGACGTGATATGGTAGAGACATCAGACCACCAGCGTCACGTCCGTTTGCTCGTCCTTATTCTGGCAAACTAAGCGGCTCGTTATTTGGAGTACTGGATGGTGAGATATCGCCGTGCGCGAATCGCCCCTTTTTGGCTGACTTTGGTGTATATATATATGTTCCACAGTAAAATGCACGCGTACCGTTTGAGGCTGCTGCTCGTTGACATGATATGGTAGAGACACCAAACCACCAGCGTCACGTTCGTCTGCTCGTCCTCATCCTGCTACTGTAAACAGAACGTTGTTTGGAGTACTGGATGGTGAGATACTGCACAGATGGGAATGGCTGCTTATTGCTTTTTTTCTTTGCCAGTTTGCCAAATAAGAAAGTAAACACCTACCGCCATGACTGTTGCTCCTTGTAGAAATACTTATGACATAGACTCGACGTTGCCATTGCGTTGTTTGCGTTCTCGCATAACGTAAAGAAGAAAGCCGGCCGTTACTGTGCAGACTGCTGCAGGTTTTGCTATGCTCGTATTGCTGTCCTGCTGAGATATGACAAGTCATTCAACTGGCAAATGGCTTTTCCAAAAGCTTTAATGGCGAAGATGTAGCGTCCGTTTGTTGTAATGCTTGTTGCTATAGTGCAACTGTTACTGAAAGCGAAATGCGTAGTATGAGTGTTGAGAAGAAAGCGTGCAAGATGAGGGTGTTGCTCGAGTGATGAAGTTGAAAAAAAATATAGGACGAGTGTTGTTCGAATGGTGATTAAAAGGAACGTGACAAGCGGCAAAGCTGAATTCAATGGAGCGTGTGCGAGTTTGCAATTGAGCAAGTCGAGTGTTGGAATGGCGGCGAGCAGTAAGTAAAGGAGTGAAAGAGATGCAGAAGCTTCCTTTCGTAAAAAATTTTCTTTGGGGAGCGCTGTACCTTCGGCTTTCCCAAACGCGGCACTTATCATAGATGCTATCACCTTTTCGTTTCCTCACGTTCCTTCTGCCTTTCCCATCCGTTTGCGCTTGTAATCAACACTTCTTTTACAACATATTTTCGATCACTGCCATTTTACTTTCATCTGCTAAAATGTGTCCGATATACGTTAATTATCTCTCAAATACACGTACAAATACATACAGCATCCAAGAAGTATATAAAATAGCCAACAAATAAAACAATCCAAAATAAGCGGTGGTGGAGAAGAAGAAGAAGAGAGTCCCATATACATCCAAGCTCATCAATTGGAAACTCTAAACCCGAAACCTTAGTAAACCCGGACCAGGACTTGCGCGTTCGACTAAACCTGCTCGCTCACTGGCGTTCGCTGCCAGGCCCCTAAACCCGTTGCGCTTACACGCCCTTCTTTTCAGCCTATCGAGTGCCTTAATGCCCCACAATGTCCTATGTTCATCAGTAACGTAGCTGCTGGACATCTGGCCAACGCAGCAGTAAGATCTGTTGGATCGCTTGAACAAAGCGGTTGCAACTGTGTGTGTAAGCAAGAAGCCTACGTAACTGCGGAAATGCTGCTGTTCCTGTTTTTTTTTCACAAGCATCTGAACTCACAACTACAAGCTCCAACGACGACGTATTGATGCTGATGCTCTCTTTTCAGTTTGCAGGTTTAATTCTCTGGGCAATCCAGTGTCTCTTACGTTGCAATCAAACAGCGTCTTTGAGTCCAAAGACAAATTACAGCAGAAAGCTGTATAGACTGTAGGTATACCCCTCAGCAGCTTCCACTGATTGGATTTTCATATACGAACATGCATCAGAACCGCAGATGCCACATTTACTAATGCGTTTTTAAGCTTAAAGCACATGGAGCTCTTTTGTATTTCACACGACAACAGAATCTCATTTCATGAAATACCAGTTTATTAAAGCATGCTAATACTATACACTCAAAAAATGCTATTGTTTCCTTACCTGAAGATAACCACCACTTCCACACCGCAATAAAAAAAGGAACCAGCTTTGCTATCTTTATATCCTTGGTATCCTTCTCTTCCTCACCTGTGTAATAATGAGATACCACCATGCCTGGATCCTTGTACTAGTACTCATTTGCTTGAAGCCGCTCTTCCTCTAAAAATAATCCGCACACTCCTTTCACCTCTGTTGCTCGTTGACATGACGTGCTAGAAACACCAAACTGCCATCGTCGCCTTTGTCCGCACGTCCTTATCCAGCCGCTGTAAACCAATGGTTATTTATATTATTCGATGGTGAGATATCGTCGTGTGTGAATCGCAACTTTTTAGCTGAATTTGGCGTATATAGATGATCCACTATATAATACACGTGTACCATTGCTGCTCGTGCTCGTGGATAAGAGTTGCTAGAGACACCGGACCCGTATCGTCGCGTTTGTCAGCCCGTCCTTTATTTTTTTTCTGTCACAGTAAACGGAACGTTAATTGGAGTACTCAATGGTGATATATAGCCGTGTGCGAATAGCTGCTTTTTTTTGCCAGTTTGCCTAATTAAAAAGAATAGACACTTACGGTCAAAAGAAGAAAACCGGCCTTAACTTCGCGGACTGCTGCAAGTTTTACTGTGCTTGTGTTATTGTCACGCTGAGATACTCGCAGGTCATTCAACTGGCAATTTCATTATTCCAATTAGTTGTAACGGCAGAGATGTTGCGTCCGTTTGTTGTAAAGTTTGTTGCTAGAGTGCTGCTGTTGCTGCTGATGTATGTTGCTGCTCTCGTCAATAACAATGCTGCGGCAGTTGTTACTACAAAGGAAAACACAATAAAAAAGTGGCCGAGTCCATCCACAGTAGGAACAAAGAATCCACTGAGACAAAGACTATGTGCTCTTTAGTATCATATACGTAAAATACAATAGCCATTCCAGTGCTGAATTTTGTAGAAAATGTTCAAAGTACCTGATGAGGGCCAAGCAAAGAAGAAAACGACGCCGGACAGAGTTGACGTTAGCAACACAGAAATAAAGAGCTTGGTCCTGGGATCATAAGATCATAGCAAAAATGAAGGACAGAGACCAGGCCGTTGTCAGAGATGCAATTCATTTGAGGGCCGTTCAAAGGTGTTGAAAAAAAAGTGCGAGATGCGTAATATTCGAGTGTTGAGAATAAAGAAAGCGTATAGGACAAGTGTTGCTCGAGTGGTGACTGAAAGGAACGTGAGATGCGGCAAAGCTGGATTCGATGGAGCATGTGCAGATGGCATGAGCAGTTCCAGTGTTGGAATGGCGGCGAGCAGTACGTAATAAAAAAAACAAGTAGAGCAAAAAGAAGTAATAAAAAGTGAAAGAGCGAAAGAGATGCAGAAGAGACCTTTCGTAAAAAAAAATTTTCTTTGGGGAGCGCTGCACCTTCGGCTTTACCAAACGCGGTGCTTATCGGTCGCCCCTTTTCGCCTTGCCTTGCCGTTTTCCCACGTTCCTTCTGCCTCTGCCTTGCCATCGTTTTTTTTTTCATCTGAGCTTGTCATCGATACTTCTTTGCTAATCCCTTTTTAGAAAATTTTGGTCATCGCCTCTGGTCATCGTGCACCCTTGGATTTGGTCACGCTCACCCACTGGTCATCCCTAGTCTCGCTCTGGTCATCGCCTCCCTCGGTCACCACCAGGCCTTCCCTCTAGTCTTCTGGTCATCGCCTTCCCCCCTTCTTGCAAATGCTCCCCCCCACCACTGTTTCCTTTTGGGAAAAATCTAGTCAAATAAAGTTTTGGTCACTGTTTGGTCACTGTCATTTCACTTTTCCCTGCTTAGATGTGTCCGACATAGGTTTATGATCATTGAATGAGCTTGCCAATTGTTTGCTAATGCCGATCGAGAACAAATTCGAGTGGAAGAGTTAGATGCTGGTTTATTTATACCACGAGTGTGATGCCATCCAGTTGTTGAACGCATTGTCGCCGTCGTGCTGTGGCCTCACCCGATCCATTGGCCCTCGTTCTTACTGCTACAGTCACTGAAAAGAAAATGAGTGCATGCCTTTTTACGACGGACGTTGAATCCTTGCTTACAAACGGTTTACTGGTTTCCAATCGCTTGTCGGATAGTGTTGTGTCAAGTATCAAAAAGAGTTATAAAGTAGACCTGGGAATTTTGAGTAAAAGAGAAAGGCGAAAAATAGAACCAAGCATCTTTTTATATGAGCCACCACGAAATTGACTGTCTACTGCCTTTACCTCGCCCATCATGACCTTTTTACACACAACCACCTGCTTTCTATTCAAGCATCCCACCCAGCCTTTTTTTCATACAGAATACCCAAGAATAACACCCCACCTCCCACCAATACAAATAAACATATATACACAATGAACAGATACTAGTAGTATTTTTTTTAAATTTTTTTATTACTCATATCGAGCAAAGGAAACTCATTCTTATAACGTCCGGCCAGGAAACGCCGTCCTTATCCCAGGCATATGCAGCACTAAGCTGCACATATGCGTCGTGGACGCGGTCGCGCTCTGCGATGGCCGCATCGCCGTCAAAACGGATGGCGCCTGTACTCTCGTCCAGAGTTGCAAACCGGCAGTCGATGGGGCGCGACTTGTTCCACCCATATTGGTGCTTGCGGCAGTGGTGGAAGGCTTGACCAGGCTTCGGGCGTGGTTGGTAGGCGCCGGTCCAGGTGTGTGCCTTCTGGGCCTTAACAAGGTCAAAGTAAGCCCTCTTGCCCTGGGCTTCCTTAGCGGCTTGGACCAGATGCTGCTGGACACCTCGGAAATTTTGCCATGCTTGTTCTTGGCGTTGTGCTTGTGTCTGCTTTCCAGGGCGCGGGACGGGGGAAGGCCAGTGGAGAAATAGCACCCCGAGACGTCAATACTGTTGGTTGTGGTGGTTGACATAGTAGACATGGCTGACAAGAGAGGAGAGAGAGAGAGGAGAGGAGAGCTGGTGTATGTGTGTTGTGAATTGATGGCTTCCAGCTTCAAAAAATTTTGTTCTTTTATACTAGAGTCTCACTCTGGTTTCTTACACGGCATTTTCGAGTAATTGGATCAGTTCCCTTTGTACACTTGACAAGACAGTTCCCGGGAAATTTAGCAATCGTACTTACTGTTGCGCACTGCTCTTCTTCGTACCTGACATCGTTATATCATGCTTCCATTTTCTTGTACACCCATCATGTCTGGAACTTGCTTACCACATGAATTGTTGGTACCCCCCAGCTTAAATTGGTATGTAGTAGCACAGCATGGCAACTGTCTTTGTCATACCAGATAAGTTGTTAAATGGTACCTTACTGTTGCTTTTTGAGACGTAATCTATCGTCATTACTCCTGCCTAGCTCTTTAAGACATTAAAGTTGTACCAAGGATCTACCAGGGATATTTTCTTCTTGCTGTTCGATACACGGTTTTCTCTACTGCTTGTGCATTGCCCCCATCCTGACATATTTCTTTTGGAACACTCTGTTCTTAGATTTCTCTGATGAATCCGGTTCTTTTTCTTAATGTGAGTTGTGCCTAGACACTTGCTCTTTCCAATATGACTTTTATTTTCATGTTCCTCTCTGATCTGGTGCATCCTTGAGTTGTTCCTCAACACTTACATCAGTGTTACCATGCAGAGCACCTTTTGTACAAGCCAACATTTTCCAAATATCACACAAAGCTGTATCAACATGTTCTTGTTTTTACAACATTTCTTCTGATCTTTCAGTTTCATCTGTTGCAGCCTTCAGACCGTCGCAATGTTTTTCCCATCTACCTACCGAGTAGCTGAGTGTAGTACGTCTTTTTACAATTGAAAGAGGATGCCTTTTCCTTTTGGCTACATGAGTCCATCAGCTATTAGATAGCAAAAGTACCTATATACATGAAAAACTGGGAACTCCCAATGACAGCGTCTACAAGTTACACATAACAGTTTTTAAATCAGAACATGTGTTGCAATCTTTGAGTGAAGACGTCTAATCCCCCGTGCCCCTTTTTTATGTAAATAAGATAATGATGTATCATTGATCGATATAACATCGATGCAGCCGTCGACTATAAAGTAATTACCCCACTGCAATTATTATTGCAATAATCCACTCTTTCTCATTCAGCCGCAACTCCTTTTATTTTCTCCACTATGTCACTCTTCCAACGTCAGCAGGTATCAAAGAATAACAACAATGCCACGGCTTTTAGCAACTCACTTACTGATATGATTACAATTAAGCAAAACAGCTCGAATGATAGACGCGCGGATGATTTCGCCCATATCGGCGATTCTTTTAATTCTGAGAACGGTGAAAGATACAATGTAAAATTGATGTTATCAGTGTAAAAGTCAAGTGCTAACGGATATGCAACCAATATCTGTAGGGCATCTCCAACGCCGACTTTGCGTTTCCGCCTATACATGACAACATACATCACAAAGAGAATCTAGCCGACAGAATAGTGGAGCTAGTGCCAGAAATATGTTTGCCGACACTACAGGACTTGCACCTTCAACACTACAACATAGATGCATGGGTATATATATATGCATTTCAAACAAATGCTAAACGTCACTCGGACGAAGCAATTCGCATCATAGCCAATATTGCTACTGTATGGCTGTATATGTACCACCGCCTCGCTGCTCGAAATGGTCTCAAACACATTATCAAAGGTATTATTTGTTCTGATTGTTTGATTTGGTAAACTGTTTCTTGAATACTGCTAACTTTAGTGTTAGGCCAACAAACGTACAATGTATCATTACGAAGCCTCAAAAATACTCTAAAGGGGGGCGAGCGTCTACTGTATTTGATCCACAAGTCCTCCCGTACCGAGCTGTTGTTCCACAACTCATTCAGTACTTGGAAACTGAGCAAGGTGCCTATATCCCGTTTTATTGAAACTCGAGCCACCATTGTATATTCATTCTATCTGTAGTTGACTGTATCTGAGTTTAATTCGTTCAGAATACCTCCTACTGGATCAACTGCCAAGAATGTTACTCGAGGCAGCCTACAGCTAAAAGTATTAGAGATGCAATTACGTATGTTTATAGCAAACATCCTTGGCTGGAAATAAACTATTGTCCTTGTAATTGACTGATTGCGTGGGTAGTACCATTTAGATGATTTTCCCCCCTTACTACAATACATTAAGTAGTACAATACTGTACAGCAGTAGAGCATTATATATATAAAGGAAGTTTCAAGACTGTGTTCTTTTCAAATCATTCTCACTCTACACTTGACAAATGCACAACACCACCACTTGCCACTTCTCTATCAGCCGCGCTATCGCTCGTGAGCTCTGGATCCAACTTTCCTCACTACGTAAAGACGATTTTAATCCATTGGGTATTTTTATTCATGTCCGCCTATGTGGTATGTTTTTGTTTGATATGATTTATGTTATACTTTCACATGTTATAAAGATGCATACTAATCAATCACCCTGTGCTGTATTGCCTCTAAAATATATAGGCAGCACTGTCCGACCCTCGCCTGTCACCAACACCAGCACTGCTTTGGCCTGGGAAATATCCAGGGGCTTTTGGAAAGCCTTTGATGCACTGTCGGAGCGCGAGCAGCGGATTGCCGCTGCTTACATAAATGCCCGTCTCAGCGAAGGTATACTGTCATTTTAACACACTATTAGTCTGCAGCCTTGTCATTTTGTTCTAACTCCTAGTTGCTTTTTCTTTTAAAGAGCTCCAGGCAAAACTGGCTAAGCTCTACGTAGAGACGGGAATACGCGCCGTCTGCATCGACGACAGTGAAGACGAAGACGAAGACGAAGACGAGGAGGACGAAGACGAAGACGAGGAGGATCCATTTATCTCGTTGTGTCCTTTTGCCGGTCGCCGCTGATCGGTTTTGTTTGCTTTTTTTGTTAAATAAAATTCCTTTTTCAAAAAAACACTTTTTGGTTTTGATATTTATTGGCTCACAGTATGCTGATATATTAAAAAAGAGTTCATTGTGGGATATACTTTACACTGATCGAGCAAAGGAATTTTGTGTGTCATGTCTTACAGTCAACCACTTATTTCACAACAGCGCAGTCGCACTATAAACTGCAAAAGTACCATTAAACAAGACATACCAAAAGTATACTGGCACACTTTTACCTGAGCTAAAGTAAAATACTGAAAGTCACCTGCTTTAAAAAACCTTTTTTTTAAGGTAATGCCCTTGTACTACGTCCTTCCAAAAGCGTTTTCCATGTCATTGCGCGCCCAATAGAGCTATATACCAATCGGTGTATGCCCTGAAAAAAAAAGGTCTCGCTCTATATATAAGCTCTGCTGGAAACAAGTGATTTTATTACTTTATTTTTTCTCCAACACCCTGTATCCATACTCATGTCTGATGAACGTGAACTCGACCTTTGTGCTGCACTGAGATGGGCATTAGACAACCGTGGTACGTTTTCATGTTTTAAAAAAGCACCAGTGTAAAACAAACATTCTGTACGAAACTAATTATCTTACAGATATCGCAGATGTTATTAGAGAGGTTAGCGAGGTCTTTGACGGCAAGGGGTATAGCACCTCTATTTTTAAAAGATGGCAGCCAGTATGTATTACATCCTGTTGAATAGTAATGTCCTACAAATAAATCCTAACTTTTTTTCTTACATAGCCAGCTCCAGTCAGACAGAATAACAATGACGTGCCACAGCGCACTCTAGTAAGTGCTCACTTTATTGTTCTGCGGTATAATACAGATACGCCTCGATTAACGTCAAAGAGAAATTAGTCTCCCCTTGAAAGAGAGATACAGGAAAGGAATGATCGTCACAAGGATTTGTTTGCACGACAGGTTCGCATAGACTGGCTCAAGGAGCGTCAGGCAAGCGACGCACGGGCAGCAACATTGTCTTTGTCACTAAGAAAACGAAAGGCGGCAGATGGTAGAGCCCAGGAGCTGAACAGAGACCAGCGACAAATGATAA